GAGAGAGCTGCTAAATAGGATTGTATTTGTTCGCGCAGGGGTGGGAAAATTTGAGTGATGAATGCTGGGGGCTGGGTGGGGTTGGATCTTTGGATTTGGTTTCTGGGGACTGCAGGGATTTGGTAATGTATGGGCAGATGAGCTGATAAGCGGGGTGGTTTTGCTCGCAATTACTATATTTGGGTATTCAGTTTAGGAATTAGAGGTGTGGGCAGGTTTGGGAGGGATGGCATTTGGCGCAGTACATGCAAACACTTGGTCGTCGCCAGAAAGTTTTGTTAATGGTATATTTTTTGGCAGGTGCAGCACTGAGGCACGCGGTCGATGATCATGTACCGTGACATTGTAGTAGTCAATGATTATCAGTATACTTTTGTTTGTGTTAATGTCATGTCTTGGCACTTCAAGTATATATATTCCTAGTGCAGTCAGTTGTCCATATTCGTCTTGCCTTTTCATTTCTGCTATGTGAAAGTAAGTATTTTTGTTTTGTCAGGGAGTCCTTTATGTAGTCCAAACTGTAGTTTGGTGGTATTCCGTTTATCACTAGTTTGTCACTGACCTTGGGTTTTAGTCTAGGGTCAGTATGTATTTGGTCAAGTCTTTCTCTTATTTTGTTAGGTGCAGTTACAGTGCGTGGTTGCATAGTTGTATAAGTTCGAGTGCATTTTAGTCATCACTATGTTAGTTATTTTCGTGAGATATTTTTATATATGTATGTATGTGTGTATTTTTATATATGTATGTACTTGGTGCGACAGCTCGTGAACGGGCTTAGACCTACCGGTGACGCCCCAGCCTCGCGACCATGGGTCGGTTAGCATGTAGACATCGTCATGCCGTATTCCGGTCTTTTCAACCTGAGAAGTTAATTTTCTCATCGTCACACAGCAATATATACTGAGATATAGCAAGGAAAACGCCCACTATTGTCTTGGTTAGGTCCAAAGCGGTTCTGTAGGGGAATGGGCGGGAGCGGGCAATCCAGGGGTTCCTCGGTGCTTTTTGGAGTGGGGGGCTCGACCGTCCATAGTGTTAAAGGGATTACTGCCGCTGTAAGGGCAGTGGGTATGGTTCCTCCATAACAGCCAGCCAAGTGTTGTATCTCACCCGGAAGTTTGAACGTGGTGCGCTACGAAGCGCGCACGACGACGTAGAGCACCTCTCGCTATTTTCCCGAGAGAGGCGACCAGCTCCTCTCAAGAAAATAGTCCTGGGTGCTGAGAGGATGACGTCAGAACCGGCGCCGGGCAGCAAGCGCTCGTCGGTCGTGACTGGAGTGCTGAGTGTTTGTTATCGTGATCATCTGCTTCTTTTCCTCTGCCGATTAGAACCTGCTCTTGCCCTCGGTCATTCGTCAGATTCTTGGCTTTTGAGATAGCATTTGTTTTTCTTCCAGACCCCTGGCTTAGCATTTGGTTTTTTTCTGCTTTGTGGCTCGACCCCGCTCGTTCCCGGTCCGTGTTTGGATTTAGCACTCTCGCTCCGCGTGGCTCACAGCTCCATTGTCCTTGGTTCCCAAATTTGAACGCGTCTGCAGTTCCGCCCCCTTCTGACCGCCCACGAGATACCTGTGACTATTCGCCGTACGACTCGCCACGCCGCTTCGAGGCCACGCCGCCTCGGCTCTCGCACTCTCGACGGCGTCCACGCCAACTTCTAGGATACACGGCCGCTGAGCCGGAAAGTAATTCGACTGAACTGATGTTAGAATAATAAACTATGTTTTATGTTTTGTATTCTCGAGGTTTATTCAGGAACACAACACCAAGTAACTCGTAAGCAGGTCCTCTTCGTGATGCTCGGCTTCATCTTGTCAAACGTGTTGTCGACGACACTGTACGCATAGCAACGCAACAATTATTTTCATACGTCCCATATTTCTAACGTTTTTCTTTGCTTCATAAGTACATTAATAAGACACCAATCTTAATTAGAAACCTAAATTTTTCACAATTTCCTAATTCTCTTAAGTTGCGCAAGTTGAGCATTAACTACCATGTTCTGCACATAACCTAATGTTACCAGGAACAACAGATATATACCAGCGAACTGGCCGTTTCGAGGCGCTAGTGTCGCGGGAGGTCCAAATATTCCTTTCGAAGCTGCGGGGCTGTGTAATTAGACTATGGTAATGGCTCCCATACTAAATGTGTCATTCGTAAACGAGATATTTCAAAAGGTCCCAAAAGGGCCGATGCTGCCACGGTACACGGTGTAAGAAATTATTTTAGTGATTAATTATTGTGACTATCATATTGTGTTTTTCTATCCCTAAGTTATTATTATATTATCATTAACATTAAAATTGTTTTCTCAAAATGTGCTACATTATTGGTACAATCTTAATTATTTATCCTTATTGTGTTTTGTTTCATGATCCCATTAATATCCAGTAATCCAGTAAGTAACACACTATTTTATTTCAATACGTACTTTCGACAAATTCTTATTTTCAATCCTTCAAAGAAAGACAAAAAATCTGAAAATACGGAAGGATGTAAAGCAGTGTTCAAGAAAAATTGCAACAATTTTGTGAGGATTTGAAATACGTTTCATATCTTGAAATACTTCGATCAGTTTCCCTTTCCCGTATGTGCATGCAGAGGCGGAGCGTTGTGTGACCTTGTGCGGCGGACTGTTACATTCAAAATATCAGTTAAACATGAGTCGAAAAAAATCAAAATTACTATAAAAGACGCTTATTTAACATATGGCAATATATATCATTGTATGCGTATTTTTACTCTCGTTATAATTGACAAAAAATATGTATAGTTCCATTTGAAAATCAAAAATAAAAGTTATCTCGATAAATACAAATGACTAAATAGATTTGATTAAATGTATTAATTAGCCCTATGCGCCATCCCGCTCATACGAACACGGAATTTCGCGCGTCGGTCGTGCCGCTGGATGTTGAATGATCGCAAGCTCTGCTTGATATGGTCACAATCATGCGACATCTAGCGGCACTACCGAGGCAAACGCGAAATGCCGTGACATATTCCACCGTGAAGACGGGCCTTGAGAGGCAGCTTTATAAAAATACCACTACAGTAAAGGATGGATGTAATACATGTCGGCATGGTGGAAAAGACGGGCGACTTATTCCGGCATACCGATTTTTGCTCGCTCTGCTCAACACCAGTTTGCGTCACGGAACACGTGAACACAGCACGGACACTTCGTTTAAACATAGATCTCAACGACGAAGTCACTGCATTTGAAAAGCCAGACCAGATACTTGCCGTTATGTTGCACGCAAACGTGAAATGAGAAACATTTTGAAAGTAGTACAAATTTGTTACACTTTTCAACGATAACCAATAAACAATAATACGATGGTGTACAAGATGCAATATTTAAAGAATTGCTTCGTAAATCTGTTTAAATGGCTTGTAGCGAGGTAATTTTGGTGCCTGGCTGCATTTAAAATCCTTGCTAATATTGTGCAGCAAATTGGTGTCTAAAGCACGTTGGTTGAAGCAGGGTACGATACGCAAGGGCGCCCCCTCCCCCTGATTTCCACCATGAAACAGGGCCCCACCTGCCCGCAGCGGCCGGCAGCGAAACGTACTCCCAAATTGAATCCCGAGAAATCCGCCATTAGAATGGCAAGAACGCGCGGGTATTCAAATATTGCCCTTCACTTATGGAGAAAATTTGAGATACACTCTTAGAATTTGCGCTTCTAATTTATTTACTCTACAGGAAGAATTTTTTCGAAAATATTTCGGAAAAGGAGTTTTAAAGAATACTGTATTAACGTAATGTAACCCTCCTTTAATAATACGGTTATGGCTTATGGAGAGGGAATGGGATTTTCTATCATAAGAGACATGACACTTTCTTAACAAACATTTACTAACTAAAATAATGATGGTGATGGTTTACACATGATTGGCAGTAATGATAAGGACGACCTTATTTTAAATAACTTTGATATTTGTTGAATTGAATTTGCCTTACTTTTACGTGGCGAGACTCGGGCCATCAGGCCCGCTCTTCCGTCTGAGCATGCAAATTTCGCTACGCTCCTTTCATCAACTAGCAGAGAAAGGAGGTATTTCTAGGGCGAGAAACAGGCGATTTGAATTTGGCTCGGAGGCGTCATTTAGGCTTGAGGATCTTTTACATGCAAATGAATCTACTAATATGGTACAGCCGGCTTTACTTCCCTTCCGAAGGAAGACGTACGAAGGATTTTCTCGCCCTGAAAAATCCACGGCTTCCATCGGGTTTGAACCCGCGACAACAGTTAACTACCATTATAGCTGTAATATAATATATATCAATATAATAAATAAATTACTATGATAAGGCTCACAGGATGATTGTGAGGTATTTCACTGGCAGTCAAGTTTAAGGACGTTATTTATTCATAGAAACCGGGTCATGCAGTAATTTATCAACGTGCATAGAATTAACCTTTTCAAAATTCCGCAGAATGAATTAAAAATAACCTTACACCGTATACGTATCCTTAAACAGCTAAAGAAAACCACACTCACGCTAATTCACAGTCAACAGTTGATCGCTTTTGCCATCCTAATGGCGGCGACGGACCTCCTTAGATTTGTAGTGGAACAGTGGCGTTCGTGGCACATCTAGCGTCTACTATTTCTATGCCATGAAATGAACGATTGTAACATATCGATTGTTATAATCGACATCATGATGTAAGGACTTGTCCTTGTATTATATCAAGTTATAAGAGACCGTATTCTTTAATTTGCATACACATATGCATAAACAAATTGCATACAAATAAAATGCACCTCTATGCGTGCTTCAGCTAATAATAATATTTTTCTATTTAATTTTAATGTAATACTGACACGTGCAGTGGGGATGCGTCTGCCTAATCAGGAGCTTCGATATAAAATTTACAGCGATAACAAAGCTTTCAATTGGATAATTGAGCCCACCTTTAAAAGTCACTACATTTAAATTGGAGGCTAGGTTGTTCCATGATGCGTCTCTTCTCGCATAATGAGATATCCTTATCCTTAGCGCGAGTTCGGTCGGTCTCATGGCGGCGCAGGGGTTGTTTGTTGTATGCGAGTTGTCAAATACTTCGGAGACGTATGATCAATGATGATTGGAAAGTGCACGAATTATAACTGCTGTTTTAAGGCAGAAGTTTTGTACATTGCTGGAGTATCTTGCAGATTTGAATTCATCATATTCTTGCTCTGAGGATTTGTTTAGAACGTTTGACAGATTGAATCATGTGAAAATAGTGCCTTTTTGGTGCATTTGAGTGCTAGAAGCTCTCCCAATACTAATCAAGCTCTTTCTGCATGTCAATTGCAGCAGAATAGTTGTCGCACTAATTTGTTAGACTTTTTAAATAATGGATAAATTCTTTAGCAGCCTGAGCAATAAATTCATAAATAAACAGGTTAGTAGGAGTTTAGAATTCTTGGAATATGATTGTACTTTTCTGTAATGTAATAATCTTTCAGAATGGACAGTATATGATTTGTTACTGTTTACATTTTTGTATGTGAATTATAATGTTATCAATATAATTGTTCCATAGAATAGCTCAAGAAGTCCAGTCGCTTCTCCTAGTGATGATGGCTCATCCAAATTTTTGGCAGAAGGATCAGGACCTCTAGTTCATCCTGCAATTTTGGAATATCGTAGACCTGTTATGAGAAAGCCTGATCCTGTTGTTGCTGAGCAGATACTGAACAGTATAAACCCTATTTATTTCAGTAGTGAAGGTTTTGATGCTTCTGAACACGAGTTGAAGGTGATTTGTGTGTTCACTTATTTGTGGAGAGGGAGAATATAATATAGCCTTATGCAACTGTTATATGGTTTTCTGTGTAGAAACTTCCTGAAGTGTTGGACACTGCAGCTATTATGAAAGATTTAGAGTTGTTGAAGCAACAACATTCTGTTGTATCTCGGAAAGTTCTACAGTTAATACAGCAAAAGGAAGAAGCCTGCCAAGAAGAATTTGAAAGGTTAATACATACTTACTGTATAGTTTAATTCAATATTACCTTTTAACTTTAATTATTGTGATGTACCTTTTGCTAGGTTCGCTGACATACACAATGAATTAAACATGGCATTGCGCATTTGTCGGGAGGGACGAACCAGCTTAAATTTGGCAAAACGCCAATTCACTACAGCAAGTCTTGGTATACTTGCTAATTATCAAAAACGTCAAGTTGTTCAGGGCCTTCTTCATAATTTAAACAATATTAAGACTCTGGTGAGTATAATTGACAATGTGGGCACAATGTTAAAATAAAATGTTTTTTTTTTAAGCCCAAGTTACAGTGGTATTTCATGATGGCCACTTTCTGGCAAAATGGGAATTTGTGGGAGAAGTGAGGGAAAATTTTGATGTTATAAAACTGGATATATAACCTGGATATTATTCTTTAATATAGCATTACAGCAACAAACGTTATTTTTTGTTCAGTTTTTATTTGGTGAGAAAAATATTGTTAATTTGTACTATGTCACAGCAACATCAGAGTGCTCACCCCTTAGTATCAGGGTATCTTCAATATTATTTTTAATTGGTGTGAAATTACAAATCATAACCAAAAAAATAAAGAATTTTTTTTTTTTAAATGGACTGAAAACGGGAAAAGTTTAGGAAAACTCGTTCCAACAAATGAGTGGCTATCCTGTATTTGCAGTTTTTCTTAGAGTTCATCTCATCAGAGCTTAAATACTATAAGTGTATAATAATGTTGTTAAAATGATAAAGATTTAATAAATTGTTTTGTAGATAAGAATACTTTATGTATTGGGAATTGCAGCAAAGAATGGAAGAACAGCTTCAAGATTTGCTTGGAGAAGGGAATTATCATGGTGCAATATCACTACTTCAGGAGTGTCAACAAGCTGCTTCTACCTACAGACATTTTACCTGTGTTGTTGCTCTAAGTGGCAAACTTCAAGACACATTGGTAATGGCAGAACAGCAGTTAGATGAAGCGCTTGCAAAGGTGATAATTTTTCTTGTTCTCAGAGCCAGGAAATTACACTTAATTAGAAAGATTGATTGGAAGTGACCAGTGCAACTAATTTTACTTTTTTGAAGGTGTGCAATGGTTTTGACAGTGAACATTATGGCAAAATTCAAGAAGCATATAGATTACTTGGCAAAACCCAACCTGCTATGGATCATCTTCTAATGCATTTCACATCTGCAATACATACAGCAGCCTTCAATGTTGTTTATGGACATGTTGAACTAAGTGGAGTTCTTGCTGGTGACGGACACAAAAAACAATACCAGCAGTTGTGCAAAGTAAGCAGTGGGAAATTTCTTTCTGTTATTTAAACCTTTTGTTAATTTTACTTTTCTGTCACACTCTTGGTAGATAGTTTTGTTAGACTTAAATTTCATTTTAATTATATTTCAGTGAGGAAAATAAATTTTATTGAATGTTTATGAAATTCAATTTCTACACTTGCAAAAGAAATGCTGTTTTTATCCATTTCACTAAAACTAGCATAATTTTCAGTTATCAATTGATTTCTTGTACAACTCATGTGGTATGTCAGTATATTTCACTCCATACTGAATCGTAGAGATAAAGATGGATAAGAGCAAGAAAGGTAACACTATTGAAGAAAAAACATCTTGTTGCTTGTCTGGATCTAAATGACCGTTTACCAGACATATTAAATTGCAAGCATTATTTTTAACATTTATTTCACACAGTTAACTATGGTATGCAGTTAGAACTTTTAATAATTACGCAAGATGTATTTATTCCACAATCTCTTATTCCCAACTGGAATCTTAAATATCAATACCTTTGCTTAAGTATCTTCCCACATTGCATATGATGAAAACTTCAGTTTAAGCTAGGAATAAATTTGTCATGGAGATGTGAAAGTTACTAGTGCAAGTCTCATCAGTTTGAATAATTAGATAATATAAAAGAAGCAATTCACCCCTTGTGTCCTAGTAGGTCATAATTCATTCCTTTTCAGTTGAAATAAACCTAAATGTATCAACAATTGTTATAGAATGATTTTTATCATATTAATTCTGCATGGAAATAATTTCTGAGAATGTTGTATCAGGTGTGTGTTGTATCAACTGTTGGTATGTAAATAATTATTTGGTCTAAGTCTAGTATACGGTACAACTTGTGGAAGTTGTTTAAACCAGCACTTCGCATTGCTCTGGCAGTTTGAATTCTGGAGGCTTTTTTGAAAAGTGCTTTCTTATAAAAGTAAATTGGTAATTATGCGGTGGATAGCTTAAGGATGTTTATAGTGAATGCGAGGGCCGAAGGCCTAAGTCTCGCCATGACTTGGATTTGGGTGAGAAAACTTGCTTTTGAAAGTAAACTGGCATTACAATGCAGCGGGGACAAAGCGTATGAATGGTGAACCATGAAAATTGCCTATCCGTAAGTGTTATTCATTTCAGAGTGCATAGAGGAATTTAAGGGAGAGCTTAAAGGAGATCCCCGCCACCTCCACACTTCTCTGAGGATGAACCGTGTACCCTACTTCAACCAATTATTTTATATAAAATAATTATTAGTGATAATCTAGCATCTGTTCTAAATTTTGTGTTTTATTCCTTGACTAATAAGAGTAAAAGTGGAATTATTCAATACCTCATGGTCAGTTTCTTCAGGTATATCATCATCATCATCATCATCATCATCATCATCACACTCCTGTCTCTGTCCTCTGGTTGTCCTGAAAGTCTGAATTGCTTTCATCATTCATTCTTACTTAAACCTGAAAGTCAGTATACAGACTCTGGATTCCTTTTATGACTGTAGGTATCTTCATCTTCCAGTATTTCCCACATTTCTATACTGTGTGTTTGAAGATATTTTTGATTTTTTCTTCTTCCTTTTTTTTTTTTCTTTCTTTTTTTTGTATTTCGTAGTTCTTACCCATTTCTCCCTCTTTGGCCATTTAAAACCTTCCTTGGGTGCGAGTAATATTGCTTTTTTCAGTGTTGTTTAGAACATGTCTATAGTTAGTATATCCACCATCTATAATTTCTCTGTAAGCCAATTTTCAAATAAATGTCTGAAACTTTCTTCTTCTAGTAAATTAGTTTTCAACTTTAGAACTGATTGAATTTCTGACTTCTTAATTTCTTGTTGTTTGAATTCAAGTTCTAGTGATCTTTATCTAGTTCTTTTCCTTTCTGTGATGGAGAGTTTGAGAGTTATTATTCTTGGGGAAATAAATTAATCTTCGATACTGGTTTTCCATTTATACTGTATCAGTTTTCCATTTATACTGTATCATTATCGAAATTCCTACTGCTGCTCTTTTTTCCTGCTTTACTCCTGAATACATTAGAATGCGATTCTGCATTTGTTTAGTCCCATTGCTTTTCTTGTTTGTTTCAGATCAAATTAGAAAATCAATATTTCTTTCTTTGATTTCTGTTTCAAAGTTTTCTTCTTTGCAGACCAATCCTCTTCTGTTCCATGTAGAAATTTGTAGTTCTTGGTATGGTTTTTTTGTTTTTTCTTTCTTGTCATTAGTTGTACATGCTGTTCCTTTTTGTGTAATCTGCTATTGGTCTATGTTGTCATTTTTGTTATTTTTTATCTTCCTGTTTCTCCTCTTGCTCTTATCATTATTATTATTATTATTATTATTATTATTATTATTATTATTATTATTATTATTATTATGTAAATGTTTTATAGTACACAATTTGTCTTTTGTGTATTGCTAGTGAACACTCAGTTCAGCATCTACCCGACATTAAAGCTCCCAACAGGGCGGCTTACCTGTTCTAATAATTAAATAGCATAAGTCTTCCGTTTCGAATTCTGCATAATACGGTAGTGCTGTATCCCACACACCAGGATAAAAGTGTTAGTCAAGCTTTTCAACTCGAGTGCAAGATTTTTATAGAATACGCAAAATGTGCAGAAGTCCCAGAAGGGGATATACAATAATTCAGGTATCAACAAAACTGATATGGTTGTCATGCCTATAAGAACATACAAGGAAATAATAAGAGATGGAGGATGATGATGATGATGATGATGATGATGATGTAATAAAATTGTCACATATATACAGCATAAGCCATGTATGACAAGTCAGGACAGGGCGATGTCTACCTGTTGCACTAGTCTACTAGCAAATACATTTTTTTCATTAAGTCTACTTAAGAAAATTTGTTAGACCCTGCTTTTGGAAAAGGAAAGATTACAAATCCATGTTTAATTAGTAAAATATATTTTATACAGTATTATTTCAGACTTCACTCTCTCTAATCTTTCACAATGATTTTAAATTTGCTGAAGTGTATTTTGATTAGTCTCTTCTGTTTTGTGTTGGCACAAGCAGTATGCCAAATAATACCAGTTGTGTAGGGTATTTCGCTAAAAATATAAGGAAGGGACTGTTTTGAAGGTACCATCTCTTAAAATAATGTTGCTGAGTGGCAGAACTCTTGAAGTTTTGTCCATGGCAAAAACTAGAAATAGGTAAAAAATGTTGAGCCCTGATTTGAAAACGTGTAAGGATATCCAGTTGATGTGATAGTGAAGGGATACATTGTATTTCCAAGTTAGCAATAATTTTCGACAATAGCATCCTTGTTGTATTCTGCTATCAATTTGGTGATTTCATGGCTAGTTGCCTTCTGTCTGCTAGTGTCTTTGTCCCCTGAATTTGAATTTGCCAAGGTTGGGAATTCTGAATTTTAGTTTTTATTCCTTCTATTTCAACTTAAAATTTGAATGAAACAAAAGTTTCATAGCATATCTCTCTGTTGAAGCATCTCTAATAAAATGGTCTTCTACCTCTGCTCTTTTTTCAAAATAGTCATATATTAATGTATCTTTACCCTTTGGTAAATTTCACAGTGTACGAGGCCATGGTTTATGATTGTTTATAGAAGGTTTGAGTTAAAAATGGAACTACATCTTAACATTACATTTTATTGTTGTGGCAACTTAAGTATTTTTGAAAATTGTTATGATGATGTAGATGATTGCATACTGCTACGTTTTCAATTTATCTTTACAAGAGGTGAATAGGGTTGAAGACCTCTTGTTTCAGTATTTGTGTTTGCAGGGAAACATCTTAACTTACACATTCAGCTCCTTGACATTTTAGTTAATAGGCATTTTAGTTAGTAGGCATATTAGCTATGGACTAGAGACTTAATATAGTTCTACACCACATTTTCATAGGATACTTTTGTTGTTACACTTAAATGCCATTAGACCTTTTTACTACAGACTTGATCCATGGCATCCCGTGCAGAATGGTTAAAAATAAATGTGTATTATGTTTATCATTGGATGTTTTTAAAATTAATTTACCATTGTTTGGTACTGTAGAAGAAAATACTTAATATGCCTTTATTTTCAGTTTATTACATCTGACAGTTTGATACCCTGTCTGTTAGATTTGTGCAAAGCCTTATGGGTCATTATGCGAAGCTACATGCATGTCAGTGCATGGCATGATGCTGATAATGCGGAATCAGAGAAGATATCTACAAGTAAGTTTCAAATTTTTTAACAATATTTAATGGTTAATAGGAAGTCAAGGAGCCTGTTCCTTTGATTCTTCAATATCATTTACCAGAAAGGAGTCGGGTTCTCAAGAATGTGAACTGATGCCTAATGATTTTACATGAATTTACACACTAAATTTCTGCTGATTATATGCACTGGATGTATTAATAAAAAATTCCCCATAAATGTCAGTTATTGCAGCACATGACATCTGGAGTCGCATGTTTGTTCTGGCTGAGTCCTTGGTGTCACAGCAGTGCATTTCTTGCTGCCGTCTGTTGAGTGATCTTGGAGAGGGGTTCGGTGCATCCCTAAGCGGGCCAGTGCAAATGCTGCCAACAGAAAATTAAAATTCTGTAAAATCTCAAATATCTGACATTTTTTCTTAGTCTTATTACTTTCAAATTATTAAAAATAATACATCATTGTTGTATTCACCTTTTTTTATCCAACCATAGCAGGTGAAAAAATAATATAGTTGGTATAGAAATCAAAAATTATATTTTGAACCACATAACACTTACAGCAAGGGTGTGCAACTTGCAAGGCCTCGGAAGCCTCAACTAAAATCTCTAATATGGTTGCAGGCCATATGTCCTTTACTCAGGTGAACCAAACCTGATTTCCTGTATTATTGAACTTAGCAGATTCCTATCGGTTGCAATTTGCTCTGAGCCAGACGCATTGCAATTATCACAAACAGAACTTTATTCAAATCGTGAACAAGAGCTTCACTAGTAGGGAAACACAACTGAAAGTTTGCATCTCGCAGAGATGATAAGTCAGGGCCAAAGTTTATACAACTGGAGTAGGGTTGTCAACTTGTACTGGGAAGGAACACGCACCCCCTAAACTGATAAGTTTGAGGAATGAAGTCTTCTGGCAGCTCAGAGCCCACACTAAAATAATTTCACTGTACACACTATCGGGCAATTGCCTCTCCTACGAACACTCTTCTTGTGCCATCATAAGGCCCTTTAAATGCTGCTCGCCGCACCAGAGAAATTTTAGCACCTTGTCCAGTGTGGTGGAATTTCCGAATAGTTTGAGGTGAGCAAGGTCTGTGCCCCCTGTTTCCAGGGCTGAACAATCTTTCAGCTACTACACCAAAAAGAAAATTCATCATCTAAAACATTTTTTGAAAAATACTTCGTGCATATGAGCAACTGAAAATTTATGGGTGCACTTTCATGTATGTGTTGCTTTTAGGTGAAATCAGAGCAATGAGGGCTTCGTCATATCACCTGTAACTATTCCCTTGTAAGTGTGGATTATTAATTATAAGTAATTATGGATTTTAATGTCATTAGTAAAGGCACTTGAAACTGTCCCTTTAGAATTCTTAATCTAAACATTTATTACAATGTGTGGCTAAAGGACACATTTGCTGAGAAGTATGTGATCCTGCAAGGAAATGGCTCAGAAAACCAAGGACGTAGTGGTAGCTATTTGCAATGCCTCAATACCCAATCGCAGAGGCCTTAAGAGCTGGCTCTTCTGATGGACATCTGAAATAGCGGAATTCTGCAAGAACTGCATCAAAACAAGTATATAAGGAACCAGAGCCAAGATAAATCTCTTCCTTGTAGATCAGCATCAGTAGAGCAGTTCTCATGAACTGCTCAAGAAAGAGATAAAATCATAACCAGGTATCCCCATAACCCCATCTCGTAAGAGGCTTATATTGGAAAAGAGTCCTGGGGCATAGCGTTTGAAAACATGAACAAGAAATTGAGGGTGGACTGGAAGACGCCTGGACTAGATTATCTGCGCTGCATAAAGAAAGTTTTAAGTTATCACTACCTTACAAGAATTCACTGAGTAACACGAAGTCTTGGTCTTGGTCTTTTCTTTTGATTGAAATAGTCATTTTACAATGGTATGACGAGTATGAAATGTGGGTAAGCATCAGGCTTTGATGGGTTCCCGAACGAGATGTTCAAACTTGTTTTAATGCACTACCCCAAATGCTCATTGATTGTGTTCAACTGCTACATTAGTGATGGTAACAAATTTGTTCTTCTTTCAAAGGTAACTAGTCGATTGATCAGATTTCCTCTTTTAGACAGCTTTTCTTCTTTGACACTATGGGCAAGTTACTTGAGGATCTAATTCTTTCATGATTTGTGAATCACCTGTCAGAAGCAACAAAGTTATGTCCCAAACAATACAACTTCAAAAACGGACAGTCTACAAAGGACGCCATCATGTAGGACATCAGTATTGCAGAGTTAGTCAAGAGATGTGATAAGAAACAGATATGATTTTGTGTGCTAGTGGCCATAGATAATATAAACTCTTTCAATACTGCCAGATGAAAGGATATCATTGAGGCACCAGTCGACACAAAGGTCTTGTTATACCTCTTTGGAAAGATCAAAGATTACCCACACGAGGGTAGAGTAGTCTATGCACCACATTCACGGTTGGAGATGTCACTTGTAGTGTGGCCAAAGGTTCTAGGTTGGGATTATTCTTATGCCATGTATGACACATTGATACCCCATCAGATACTCATCTTACAGGTCAAGCAGGCAACACTCTCATAGTGTGCCATTGTCATTCCATGGCATCGCACTCTCAACACCACTATTTTTTTAGACTTGTAACTATTTTTATGAGGTCTCCGGTTAAAATTAGGTAACATTCATTTTTTTATTTTCTCCCTTTTCAGACTCCTTTAAAAAATAATACTAAATATTTTTTAGAAGAATTTTCTGAGCGTTAATGTTTAAATATTTTTCACATATTTACCTTTTCCTATAGAAAAATATGTCTACACCTATATTAAACCCAGAAAGGTGTACTTTCATTTCATGTAAATATTTTTTTGTAAACAAATTATTTATACATAAAATAAATTTTAATTTTTAAAATCTCAATTTTCATATTATGCTGCCATTTAAATTAATTTTCTTTTTAAATACTCTTATATTTCTACATCAATGTTGTGTCTATCTGCCAAATTCCAAATGAGACACTGAGAAAAAAAAAAAACACTGATATATATATATATATACAGATTGTCTTCTGTATTTACATCACAATTCTTGAGTTTATGTTAACTTGATTATTTGTTTTCACGCGGCTCACTTTACACTACTACACTGTCCTCTGCACCACGGTTCACCGCGATGCATTTCACAGCTCAGACTCAGACTAACTGTGCACTACTGAGCAGTTCATTTATACCTAGCTGAGCTGAGAAGTTTCCAGAACTTACATCACTTCTTCGCGACTCGTAAAAACCCTGGAACTCAGGGTTGAGGAGCTGGGTCAGTCCCCAAGCAGACTTCGACAGATTATTCAATCCTCATTACAATATGGTTGTTATTTCCATAATCTTCATATAAAAATCTGTATTTGCAGAAGTGTACGAATTACGTTTGATGAATTAGAGAAGGAAACAGGTCTATTACAGGGACCTTCCACACCATCATCCATGAAGATATGAAGATGGAGGTGTATGCACAATGGATACCCTCACCATTGCGAAGAAACAAGCGTATGGAGATGTGCCAACAGTTGATTAAACAGTACTGTACAGATCCAGTGGGATTCTTTCGGCGTGTGGTCACAGTCAAACATGTTTTTTCTCTCATCTTTCTCTGCATGCAGAGTGTGAATTCACAGGAAGCATACCTCCTTTCAATTCTGTGCTGTATGGCACACTCGTTTGCTCAGTGTTGGACTATGCCACCATTCTTTATGGTTTCCTTATCAACCCTTTGCCCTTTAAATATTATCCATTATGTTGGTATTCTTATAGCCATGTGTGGATTGCAGCAGTTGCATTAAGTGTATCTCGACTGATGTTGGTGAGCTATCTTATTAGAAAATACAATATTCTGTTTGCAGCCAATGGAGTGAAATTTTCAGGCCTGCCAAATCATCCAACCAGTCAGTTATCTTATATATCCAGTCTTTGTAGGCTCTGAAGTCTGATCTGATGGAGAACCGAAATGTTAATCTTCCCTCCCATGTGAAACCCCTTTCACACCACTAGTCCTAATTGGAAACTTGTTTACTCCAATCTAGACCAAAGGCCAATCTCCCAAAACACACTACTGCTCTCTTAGGATACCTGAAACACTTCTAGAAATTGAGAGCAACCTATCATAACCACTTTTCTTTAGACTGCCGGTGCTTTTCATCAATGATTCAATGACCTTGTGTGTATTGCAGAAGGACTACTTGGTCATTTCAAATTCTCTCATTCTGCAGTGTATTCCCAGCTGAGAAATTCACTGTGCCCCAGGCTCTGAAATACATCGAATCAGGCACATTAAGATGAGCAGTTGTATGCAGTGATTCTTGCAGTGCACTTCAGACACCTTTCCCCCTCAGATAATTTTTCTTGTAATGATGATGGCTGCAAAATTATCAATTCAGAACTCAGGCACTCTCATTCCCACTGACCGCTCAGCAGATTTGAAGGGTCCATTCAGAGAGTGAGGAGATACGCACCCTGTAAACTTTTAAATTAAGATTGACCAAAGAGACTGTGAAGTTGTTAATCATCCCTTTCTGCTAGGCATGAGGAAGTAATTTTAACCAGTCTTCGAATCGGCCATTGTTTCATATTATATGGTTTCCTCTTGCAAAGTGAACCTGCCTGCATCTGCGATACATGTGAGACAACTTGTCTATGGAACACAAACATCTGTATTTTGTGAAGTATAATGGGAGTCGACACACACTGTCTGGGCACTGTTCTAGGGGAGATGGTCAGCAATGAAGAGTCAATATTCAAATTGTCAATACTCAGTCAGTTAATACTCAACTCAATACTGACTTTTCCTTTCTGCAGAAAAGTGGCCTTTTCCATTTGAGACAAAAGGATTTTTTTTAATGTATTATGTGGCCTTTATACTGTCAATTTGTTAGTTTTGTATTTATTTTTGTAAATAATTTTGGCAGTTTTATTTCGTATATCTTATGTAGCTGGTTTTAATTTAAAATTGTGTATATGATTTTATTTATCATGATGTATGGGCAAAGGTCTTTGTGTAATTCTAATTCTTCTACACCACCAATTAGTAAGTCTTGTATTTTTTTTTTTTTTTTTATAATTCTTGCAATTTTATTTCATAGATCTTACTAATTACTATCATTACTATTTTAACGTATTTGACATGGGCATCAATGACCATAGCTGTTGAAGTGCCCTTCAAACCTCAGTAAATGAAGCTAAGAATCCGTGCTTGAATCGCATAATTGGTATTTGAAATTTGAAGATTGCCGAGTTTGAAGTAATTGTTTCCCAATTTTTGGATTTCATCTACTAGAATTTGCAATTTGCTGACTTCGACAATGTGAAAAGTAAACCTTCTGAAATAACAAGACGACTTTGCTGCTATTTTATCCAGAGTACAACTCTATTTCAGAAATTACATGAGATAAATGGTATTTTTATTAGCAAATGATTGTGTTGTCTATTTACTCAACTAAGTCAAGTGTTGCCAGGTTTTGATTTATCACAATCATTTGTTAGAGAAGAAAAGGAATGAATTCTGTCTATCCCAGCCCCACCACTCCTCACCTCACTGGGAGGCAACAATTTTGTTTCTATACCTGGCATTTTAGAAAATTGTCATCATTAAAACTACCAATTTTTAAACATTGGCAGCTTGGTATGACCAATTTTTATTAAAAATAAGTAAATAAGCCACTGTATTTTCTTAAAGTTTTATGGAACCTTGGATTATATTGCTAGGTTCCAATGCCTAAATTAATCTATTACAAATAACTTAAGGAAAAATATATTTAACATATTTCTTTATTGTTAATATATATTATTATAAAAAATAATTTCAGAAAAAAGATATCTGAATTAGAAACTAGCGTGACATACATGAAAATTATCTTAGGCATTTTAATAAAAGTTAATAATTTTAGAACACTTTTCTTATTGTTTGGGTTTGATAAGAAATGTTCATCAACATTAGTTAATAAAAGCTAGTATTTTCTTTGTTAATTAGTATTATTACTTTAAAAATGCTTACATTTTCCCTGCTAACTATTTTTGGACAACAAAACACACTATTTAAATAGTCTTAACTTTAAATAATGCTGAGATATCTAGTTTCCCCTACTAATGAGACAATGATCATGACTCAAAATGAGTCATTTAAGGAGGAGTGAAAATTCTCATGCTCCTATGGTGATATAAATTTCAATTACGTTGCGTATAGTAATTGCTTTTTTACATCTGAGTTTAAGGATGTTCTTTTTTGTTTCAATGGTAATTCGTTAAGTGTGAATTTACTAAATTACTATCTTGTTATATGACAGCAAATTTTCTGTATTGCTAGTTTCGAACAAGGATTTCCAAAGAGATAGCAACAAACTCCAATTACTAAATTTTAACTGTAATATTACTATAGACTTTTCTTAATGTTTAAGGTGGAGGTTTACTTGTGGCAGTGGATCTTGAGGCAAGCTGCAATAAAGAATACGTGAAGACAAAACTAAAAAGTGGTTTGGAAAGAATTTGGCAAGATGTTCAAATGCGAGTGTGCACTTACTTGCGTGAATCTCGAGCTGCTTGGTGCAAGTTTGACGAGTTCATGCAAGTTCTCAGAGTTGTTCACAGGTTAGTTTAAATATAATATAATATTTATATATAAATAAATAAATAAATAAATAAAATCTGTAGTTTTAACTTGATAGAAAGATAAAGTGAATAATGAAGAGTTACAAAACCCTTGAATGTATGTTGTTAGAACTTAAATATGGTGTTATTGATAGAAGTAAAACTATTTTGGACTATTTTTGCTCTGCTATTAAGCAGATTATAGCTATTAATATACCTAGAAATTAGTGTTATTACTGCAGAGGCCAGAAGTTAAAAATTGAGGCAAAGCAGAGATATTTATTTTGGACGAAGCAGTAATAACCCTTACATTTCTTGGGATGTTCAACGTTTTATCAGTCACAATAAAATCTCACAAGTTATGGAAAAATTTTGAGATTACTGCAATAGTAAACAAATGAATTCCATTGATACCGCACGTTACTACAATATTGTGAGGTGTTGCTTGCGATATATCTATTTAAACAATATTTGTGTACTGTGGTTTGAGAAAAGATTAATACAAATAATTCTCCTGGACATACCTACTATAAATTTTTTAAGTACTATTAATATTACAATTAATGATAATTATCCTACCAGCTAATATGAGTTACATTTAATCTGAATTGCTTGAATGTGACCCGCAACTTTTTAGCAAAAACTATGAAAATTGAAGTATGTGTGAATTTGAATTTTTAGTCCTGTCTTTTTTAATCTCTAAATTAGGGGTGAAATTTAATTTCTGTTACAGGCTCATGGAAATTGGAGAAGAATTTTGTGGTAGTAAATCTGGAGAATTGCAGAAATTAATGAAAGAACAAAGTGGTCAGTATTTCAGAAATTATCATAGAGAGCGTTTGGAGGAACTCAGAATTTTTCTTGAAAATGAAGGATGGGAAATATGTCCAGTTAAACAAAATTTTACTGTTTTACAGTTACAGGTTCGTATGATTGTTAATGTTATTTAATTTTGAAAATTTCCGCCAAAATATTTACTTTTGAAACTATTTTTTGAACATGAGAAGGTTATACATGAACCTTTTGATAAATTCAATTTGATTTCCACTTTCAGTTTGTCATACACCTGTTAATTAAAGTACAAAAATTAATGCCCAAAAATGTATCCCCCTCCTCGCCCAGCCCTTCATTACTACATTTTACTGAAAGTAGCCATCAACATGAGTTATACATATTACTGCCACCTGATCTGAAATGCAACAAAAACTAATATAGCAAATATTATTTTTTTTATGATGACTATAATCAAACTCATCTGTGTCCACTAATTGAACTGCTTGTATTCCTACTGCCTTTTAGTTTTTACGAATCAATCTGTCATATGTTATCATTTTCATGATATTAATTATGCATTTTGACTTGTTGATACATTGTGAGTTTTACAGGAATTTAGATCGTTTCGGGGAGTGCTGAAAGGTGTGAGTCTGGGAAGCCCAGAGTGTAGCAGTAGCAATCAGTCTCAGGATGGTAGTTCTACTTTAGGTGGTTATTTTACTCGTTATGCCGACTCTGGTTCTCCTTTTGACATGAGCTTGGATGAAACTCAGGAGGAAGATATATTAGCCAACATAGGGGTATGATTTCGTTATTCTTTATCCTGAATGCTTAATTATATTGTGAATATATAAACATGCATTTTTGTATCAGGATGAACCATCTGGCTACTTCAGTGATGAAAGTGATGAGGACATTGATGAAGAGCTTAAAAAAGACTTTGTAGATGAAAATGCTGGAGAAAGTTGTGGTAACAAACAGTAAGAGATTTTTTTTATTTAAAAAGAGTTGGTGCAACATTTTGTGATAATGAATATGATGTAAAACTGAATTTTTATCTTAATGGTATAGTTCATTAACAATTGTGCTAGGCTCAACTAAAAACTAAACTACTTAAAATAATTGCAGTTGTAATTTAACTTAAAAGCCTTGTTGCCATCTGTTCAGTGTTTGTGAGATTCATGCTTATGAAGAACTAGAATGTTTTGAAAAGTCTAGTTATTACTAAAACAAGGAAGTTTGATATAATTGTTGTTGATCAGTTTATCAATGTAGTATAACAGTGTTGAATATTGTTCTGAAGCAAAAGGTAAATAAATTTCACCTTCATGCTGCATTTTCTAACTGCAAAAACACCAATTTCATTAAACCATTTATTTCAAGACTTTCAAGATGTTAATAAATACAAAACAGTATGAATTTTGGATCATAATTTTCTCTACAGTATTATACAGATATTAAGCAAATTTAATTTTTTTAATAATTAAAAATAAATTATTTGAGGCATTTAATGTTATAACTGCCATTCTGTATTCTAAGCCTCTGCTTGAAAGTTAAGGGTGTTAATTTACTGTCTGGCTATGTGTTCTATAAATTTGTCATGTTCCTGATATTTGGCATGATGTATTACTCGTGCAACTTTTCTTGAACGATGACCTTGATCCCCTCCCTTGTACAATAAACAGTTAAAGGCAAAAGCTCACAGCGGGCACTGATGACAACCTTCCAAGCATTAAAACTTAGTTGGCGTGAAACAGAAGCTAGTGAAAGCCAATTGCTTTCATAGTGCAGAACCCCTGTTCAGGTTTATTATCAATATCGAAAGAAATGGCTGAGTCAGGTCCAGGTCATTCAAGGGAGTCACCTAAATATCTCAAAAATGTTAAGCACAAGTTGCAGTTTTGACTTTCATTTCACAGACGTTGGCATTACTTAAAATACTCTAGTGGCCGACTTTGTAACTAATATCCCCACTCCACCCAAAATCGTCAATCCATCGTTCAAGAAAAGTTGCCCGAGTAGTACTAAAAGAGTATGTAGTTGATCCAATGCAGATAGTGTGATTAAGCATTTAGGAAACTTCTTCTTATTTGTCGTTATTATTATTATTATTATTATTATTAATAATAATAATAATAATAATAATAATAATAATAATAAATATTAACAATACAAATATATTTTATTAAATATTATAAAAAAATATTAATAATAAAAAACTATGACGCTGTTGTAGATACTGTAGAGATGATATTTCAAGGCAATCATAACAATTTTAAATATTGTTCAGAATATTTCACTTTTGATATGTTATTTTTATTTTGTCTACATATATGAAGCACAAAACAAATATTAGTGAGGTGTGTATGTAATCATAAGATCGTAGTAATTAGCATACAATGCTGTTTCCAAGTAATGTGTTCTTGGATATCATTGTCTGTTATAGCAGTATTATAATTTATAATAATTTTTACAATTGTATTTAGATTAAAATGAGTTTTGATTTAAATGAATTTAGTCACATGCCTATATAAAATGCAAATATATTTGTTTTCTTGCGACAGTCAAACAAGATCCAGTACTAAAAAGCATGTCAAACAGGACTTGAAGGCTCTCATACTTACCAATACAAGTCTAACAGTGTTAAGACAGTGTGGCAAATACATGCAGCTTAGTAGATTATTACGACCTGTGGCGGGAGATGTTTTGTTGTGTATGAGTCAGCTTCTTGAATATTACTTGTATGCCGTGCATGCATTCTTTACTATTGATCTGGTAGGTGGGTTTTTGTTTTTCCATTAAAAAAATCTATAGACATCTTGTGTTTTTTATAATCGATTGTTACATTATGCCCATTATCTGTAACAAAATTCCATTCAAGTTGTAATGTCTCCTTCTAATGTAAAATTTTATATATTATTATACTGAGTAAAATTTTTCAGCCAGATGCTTGTCAATGGAAATACAGTACCAAACTGAAAGAATCTCTAGACAGAATTAGACATAGTTTAATACAGACTCCAGTATTAGATGGAGATCCAGAACCTGTCAACAAAGACAGGAGTAAGGTAAGCAGGTCAGAATTATAATTATAATAATGTTCTTATCAATGGTAAAGAAAAGTAGTAAATCTCAAAAATTATTTTTTTGTTAAGTAAAGAAATATGTTTAGAAAATAGTATATTTATACGGGTAAAAATGTAAAGATAGTTCACAAGACAGCTGATATTTAGATTAAAACACTTTGACAGGACACAGAATAAAAGTCTTAACTGAGGATAAAACTTCTTCACAAGGACAATTTTTTAAGCGTATCACTTTTCTTGGGATCCAAAGAGAAAATTTTCTTAAAAACAGTAAAACCCCCTTTTTACACTCTTCAGGGGATCGACGCAAAAAAGTGTAAAATACAGGAAAGTTGAAAAACGATAGGCTAGATTAATATTTACATTATTTACTGCAATTGTCGTTCTCTTTTTACTTTCTCGACCTTTGTAAGAAGAGAAAGTAAAAGCATGCGCTGGAATCAGCGATTTTCGTCAGAAAATCTTATTGATGTGCCCTGGTAATGAAAAAGTGGGTAAATCATATTCCCGTGTATATAGTAAATTACTCTCTCTAACGGGTGGTGTAACCGGAATCCCTGTTTTATGTGTCGTTGAAACCGCAAAATCAATTGACGGCAAAACATCTGTCCGTCTGTGGTTAACGCGAGCGCATAAACCGACTGCCGATTTTCTCCAAAAATATTTCTCCCAAAATTATATGAACGAACTCGAGCCTTTGTGAGTACGTTTCATACATGTGTACTATTTACTACATATTGGAACAGGATTTATCCACTTTTTTTGAATCTGTAAGAGCTTCTCTATTGAAAAATTGCCATTTTTTGCTGCAGCATTAAATAACTTTCTCTGTACTAGATATAATACATACATATAAGATAAAGTAAAAAAAAAGGAAAATTAAAATAAATTTTAAGAAAAGATGTAGAAGACAGGAAGCACTCTTTATATCAAGTTGTAAATTGCGGGAAGAGAATGAGTTGTAAATATAGGCTTTACGATGGGACCAACAAAAAATAACGGAAAAAGCAGGAAAACGTAAAATGTGGGAATGTAAAATAGGGGTTTTACTGTAATTTTTAATCTCTTAATTTAGGGTTGTGAGGGAAATTCATCAGAAAAACAAATGTATAGATGTCATAACAAACAATATATTGCACAAAACATACTGTACATTGTATGTTTATTGTGTGCGTGTGTTGTTTTATTTTTTATTTATATACTGGGTACTGGCTGCACTAATAGAGTTTAAATCATAGAATAGATACTCTTGGTAATCCATAGTAACCTAAGTCCACTTTTCAAATTATTTAAGGCAGTCAGCAACATGACTCATATTCTGTTTGCCTACAAATTCCCTTAAAATTCCTTGTTCAAAACCTCGTGAGTGCATTTGCAGAATATTGTTTTTAGGCACCCGAAACCTTGATACTCGATTTCTACTGTTCCAGATTGCAGAGCCTTGTATCTCTCCAGTAGTAGATTTGGGTCAGTCTGAAGTTCTTCACGGTTTGGAATCTCGTGTGGTTGCTGTGGAATCTGTGGTATTTCTCGCTAAACAATTTGAGTTATTGCACAGTTATTTGGAAAAAATTGTTGCTGGCACTGGATCACCATTTTTGCAACAACTATATGCACAGGTATAGTAAGCAGGATGCAGAGCAATTCAGTCTCTTGTTTGTTTTTAGTATTCTTTTGTAAAACTTCACTTGTGTTCACTGGTAGGAACTCTGACCTATCATAAAATAGTATAATACAAACTCTTCATATAAAATATGTCATTATCATTAACGTTACTAGGGTTGTGGCATGCATGTTTGTCATTGTCGTTAGTGGCTACAGTAAAAAATAAGAATTAATTTTAGATTGTTATTTTGTGTACTTATCATTGTTTGAGTGAATCTGAATCTTTGCACAAGTCATTCCTTCTGGAGGAGCCCCACATTTTATTTTATTGGTTAATGAAGAGGGTGTGAACTCAAGGCCAATCACAACTGTAACACACAGAATGACAGCATAAGGAGCAAGTTTGTGAAATTACATCCTTCTGCTTTCTAGGCTTAAGTTTGAGAATCAAATTTTAGTGGTAATAAAGGCATCAATGGAAGAGATTCTAAAGTGCAAGGAGGTCCTGCAGCTTTAAGTGCTTCACATCTCTGGCTTTCCCATTCCCTCAATGAAAAGTTGTAAAACACACAAAAAGAAACCTCGTAACATTTTCAGGTACACAGTATCTTGATACTATGTTTCTCAGGATATATCGTTTTAACATCATCACTTTTGATTTAATTCTGATACCAGAGGACTCTTCCTCTTTCGGATTTTTTACGCTGTGGCCCACATGTTTTGATTTTTTTAACATTGATTAATCTCTTATTTTAACACCATTTGCTTTTGGAAAATATTCTCTATGAAAGAATTTAACAAATAACAGTAGTATCTCTTGCACTTCGACTAGTATTCCTGACACACGTATAATGAGAGTCGAGTAATTTTATTTCTGACAAAAATGTCATTAATAATAAATACAGATGCTGAAAGTTCTTCTAGATAAAGTTAAAATGAAAATGTTAACTGTTCAGTTTTTGATGCCTGTCGACTTTCCCCTTTCGTCAAGGAGTTTGCCTCACAGAATGTTGAAGTGCAGTGCTTGTTGGTTCATCTTTGCCTTCATTGCTCTCTTTTCTTGATGTTTAGAAACTTTTCTGTCATTATTTTGATTTTTGTTGTTGTTGTTGTTGTTGTTGTTGTTGTTGTTGTTGTTGTTGTTGTTGTTGTGCAGTTTTATTGTTCAAAAAATGTTTCTTGAACAACTTTCCGTATAGTCCACCAGCTTCGTTTTTTCATTGGCTCATAGAACAGGTAATTTTCCCAACTTCTTGCCACTATTAAGCTTCCTTCAGCTCACGTTATTGATGTGGGGACTGAACTGAATCTGCAATTTAGAATAAGGTACTTGCAAGATGATGACTTATTCTAGCCCTGTTGGGGTGCTCCATGGGTGGGTGTCGTTTTGGAATTTTGGTTATAATTTTAGTTCTGACAGATTGTATCACTTCAGATGCATCATCTTCTGCATACGGTACCTTTTCCAACTTCTTCTTTGCCATATTCCCAAGATGATAATAAGACCTTAATTATAATGAAGGAATTTCAGTAACCATATATGCAAGTTACACAGATTGTAATAGCTAATAGAATTGTAATACCTAACTGCATACTGCAAAATTTTAAACTCCAGTCACAATAAAGCTTTTGTTTGTCAATTTACCATTATTTAGAAGTATGTTTTGAATTAAATAGGCAAATTTTGGTGATCTCTCTTTTGTAAGCATGTTACCATAATGAGGAACAATTAAAAATTATCAATTTTTTATGGTTTGTTCTCCAATCAACCCTTAAGAACATGGTGATAGATCTGTTCCTATCATTAAACTCCAAAGACCTTACCAGTGTTACCTCCAAACTCTGCATTAAATTTTGTTTTTTGTATCAGTTAAGTTTTTTCCTGCTGCAAATCTTTTTATTTTTGCTGTCTGGATAAATGCTTCCTCTTTTTCTTTTAAGAACATAAGAATAAAATTATTTGAAAAAGCTGTACCACAAACGGGCATCTGGAGTAACAGGAGACTGTAGATTTCAAGTGTACTCAGATTAGTTAATTTTGCACTTGGGACAGGTTAGCAGCAAATTTGAAAAATATTTGGTAGTCTCTCAATAGGAGTTTGGGATAAGGTGAGACCATATAGCGAATAAGTATGTCAAGATTACTTTCAATAATGCATTATATAGGGATGGAACAGTTTAGACATTTTCAGTGTCAAAGCTATGTCACATGGACAAAAACTAGTAGCTTAACACTTTTTAACGATGTAATCATTTCAAAGTGCAAAGATAGTTTTAAATTGAAAATTATTGCAACATCTGTAATTTGAGGAACTTGTTCTAACATAAAACCTGATAGACAATAATTGTGGACTATCGGGGAATTGTCCGGAGAATATCTGTTGGAATCTGAAGTTACAAACCCGTATTATTGTAATACCTCCCATATTACTTTTATTTTATCTCAATGAAATGATTGAATAAATGACAGTATGCAGTTCATTGTATACCATTTTCAGTGCAACAATGAGGTACCTTGTTTTAATACTTGATTCATATCTTTTGTTTTTCTTCAAAATTTATGTTCATCAGCTTTATATCATTAAAAGGCATTAAAAACATGTTAAAAGGCATGAGTGATTTCAAACCTCAATTTAAATGAACTAAAGACTAAAGATTGGGGTCATTAATTGGAAAATTAACTGTCAATGAATACTAATACGCACATGTGCTACTTCAAAACTAATTCTAGACATTACAGAGGAAAATAGATTAAAAGTGTTCCAGAGGAAACACAATTTTATATTACCAATTACATGAAATTGTCTGTGGAAACTGTAACTTACAAATTATTTTTATTGCCACTTGTCTAAATTTCTTGCAGTATATAGAGAGCCAAGATGCAAGACACATTCTTTCCGATTTCTTCTTGGTTCTCATGTCAGAAACATCATTTCTAGGTATCGTCTTTCATAATTAAATTGGCATAGTTCAGTAGGGATCTTGGCTATCTGGTTTTGCTCTTTTGCTAATGTCTATCAACTTCGTGTGTAAAGTGTGGCAAAATGTCACACAAGAAAACACATTACACCTCACCAACACATTCCAAACTGCGAGGGTAATCCTAGTGCAAATTCTAACCTGTGCCCAGTTTTCATTGAGGAGAAAGAAATCCAAAAAATTAAGATTTCATTTCTGAAAGTAAGGTGGAGATCAGGTGAAATACGTCCTGGATCTGTGTGTTTCAACTGTGCTTCAAGACTTGGATACAAATTAGTTACACTTCAGATTCGCGCAAGGATTTATTCACAAAAAGATCTCTTTAATACTATTACCCCCATATCCAACTTTATTACTCCAAGTGGAAGGCATCCTACACCATTAGCAAATTCACTTTGTTGATGCCTCAGAGAGACTGCACGAAGCTACAAATGATAGCCTGTGTCATATTGTTGCCCATGAAGTGGTTCCTTTATTTAGAAAAGGTAATCACTAGAGGGCGGATGCACTTAAAATCATCAAAATATGCATGCATTTATGCTTTTAAAATCCATAAAATATATTCATCACAAACCTGGCAATATGCACAAGAAATGATGCTTTATTAATAAAATACTTCAAATATACCTATTTAAATGATTTTTGTTCACTCATTGTACATTTACTTACACGCATTGTTGTGACAATATACAACAAATTGTTTTTCAATGTATTCTACTGACATAGATTTTTTTCTGTTCAAATATTTGTGTAACTAGTAAACGTCCATTCCGTTTCACAAGAAGTTAAGGGACAGAATTTAAATGAAGCCACTTCAGCAGGAGAATAACTGTGTAGTTTATTCTCAGATATTCCATTTAGTACTATCATGAATAAATTTAATGAAGTGATTTCTGTCTTCTGTTTTCTCTTTACTTTGTTGCTACAATTTGTCCAATGACTCCTGGTCAGTGGCATAAAGTTGGGGCTTGTAATGCTGGTGGGCCTAAGTAAAAGAGGGTCTATTTTTAGGGGATATTTTTGTTATTTAAGGTGCTAACACTACTTGTGTTTGCTATACGGTTTCCTAAGGGGGCCTGGATAAAAGTTTTGTGGGCGGGCCCTGCACTCATTTTGTTATGCTAGTGCTCCTGGTATAATATGTTTTGTAAATGAATCTTTCAGTACAAAAGCTACCAAAAGTGGCATTCCCCTTTCTTCCAACTTGGTGATTATTGCGGGCAAATTTTCAAAATGAACTTAGTGATGTTGCAGCACCCTATTCAAGTCTGCCCTCTATCTCCCTTTTTCATGGATGTCCTTGGCAGGCCACCTTAGAAAAATTGAAGTATACACAAAATACTTTGTTTTGATTGTGATGAAATGAATTTACATTTAATTTTGTTCCTTTCATCGAGGCTATTTCTCTAAATTCACTGCTGTGCGCTCCATCATCCCGGTAAACTAATTGCAGCACAGCTGTTAGTGCTTCTGCAGATGCAACAGATATCAGCTTTTGTAATCTAAGTTGACAAGTTGGCACTGAGCAAAGCTATTTTTTAGAATTACTGTTTCTGCCCAACACCCCACATTGTTAGCGATAATCTCACAAGGGATTGATAAACAACTGCTTACCTTAGAAATCAGCTGCTGAAGAGATAAGTACACTGAGTCTCGAGAGGGTCAATAATAGCAAAATATACACCAAAATGCACCAATTATTGATATATCCACCTATTGCTAATATTTTTAAAAATATGCACTCTGAAACTTCATATATTCCATTGGTGGTCTGAATCGTATTTTCTTGCAAAAAGCATATGGTTTGGTCACAAGGAATAAAATCTGCAAATGTGGTAAAATTCGCCTTCTAGTAATCATACTACTTTTCAGATGAATATGTTGGATGCACCACAGTGTGAATTGTCAAGTAGGATAATGGGAGTCCATTTGCAAAAATATGCTGTTGATTCTGAGTGAGAGACAAAAATGCAATTTTAAGAGGTAGCAGTAGAAGGCTGCATGCCCCATCAGCACATTAGGTTCAGCATGGTTA